CTGGGGATTCGAACCCGCCACCTTAGGTGTACGTGGCTGGCGCCTTAGCAGGTTGAGCTATAGGCGCCGAGCCTGAGGCCTTTTGATGTATAGTATTTCCAATAATTTTTTTTATTTTTATTAAATCATAGCTGTGTACATTGATGTAATCATGGGGTACAATGTGCTGGTTTTATATACAAATTGAAATATTTTCATCAAACTGGTTAACATAGCCTTCACGGCATTTTCTTAGTTATCATGTTTAGACATTTATATTCTACACCTAATAAATTTCACATGTACCCTTGTAAGAAAAATATGGAACGCTTCATGAATTTGCACGTCATCCTTATGCAGGGGCAGTGCTAATCTTCTCTGTATAGTTCCAATTTTAGTATATGTGCTGCTGAAGCAAGCACTGATGTATAGTATTTAGTCATAGCATATAAGCTACTCACGAGATCAATATATTCCTTCTCTCACATGAGGGTTGGAAGAACGTGCCACATTAAGCACCCTGGCTGGGCTGGTGAAGCAAATCTAGTCAGGGAAGTGGAGAAGGTATGGGAACGGCCAGGCTTGTCTGAGAAATTTGAATTTGACATGAGAGTTCAAGGGGAGCAGCTGGTAAGCACACAGGGTGGGGAAGTGTGTGGCAAACGCAGTGTCCAAGCATGTAAGCCACAAATTTCTGCAAAGAGATGACTGAAGGTAGAGAGAGAGCCACTTTTCTGGTTAGGGCCTGAATGTAGCAAAATAAGCAGGGAAGAAAGGTTAGAACAGAGAAGCTGAGGGAATTCGTCTGTTACTTTTAAGTACTTTAATTTTATTTTTATTGAGATTGCATTGCTATTTTTAAAATCATGCTTCTTTGCTTGCCTTTAAAATGTAATACCTGACACACTCCCAGGTTCTGAGCAGCCTTAGTCTCATGTGTAGGAAGATGCCAACAACACAGGCTATGTCTGTGCCCTGAAGGAATCAAAGTGTTTAAATGCAATCCCTAGGTAGAGTTGTCTAGAGCCTTTCTTGTTACTTAGAATTTTGGATTAGAGGCTCAGCGCCTGTGACTCAAGCGGCTAAGGCGCCAGCCACATACACCTAAGTTGGCAGGTTCGAATCCCCAGCCCGGGCCCGCCAAACAACAATGATGGCTGCAGCTACTTGGGAGGCTAAGGTAGGAGACTCGCTTGAGCCCAGGAGTTGGAGGTTGCTGTGAGTGTGATGCCATGGCACTCTACCCAGGGGGATAGCTTGAGGCTCCGTCT